ACTCAACCGAACCTTACCTGACGGACAGAACTAGAATTCCTCATCAGTAATGAGACACAGCAAGCAGCATAAGCAATAAGTTGACAGTACGTGACTTTTATCGAACTCCTAAGGAGTTACTATTTGCCAGCCTCTCGGCTTTTTATTGACATCACCCTTTCATCATGATAATACTAGACAAAAATCTATAAGAGCATATCACGATAATTTTGTTTTCAATGACAAAGATCACACATATCACGATAATACTTTTATCAGGATAAAATCTGATAAATATTTATCGCGGTTTATTAACATACAGGTATTTACAAAGCTAAATAACGTGTTATATCGCGATAGTTTCTTGTGTTGCGTTTTATCGATAGGCTGCGATAAACCGCCATAACGTTTATATCGCGAGAGAGAGAGAGTTGCTCATTATCCACGTATTTCAGCACATTTAGCATAATATCTCGATATATCGTAAGTTTTTAATCAAAATTTTCCTCATGGGTAGCAAATCCCACAAGCCATCAAATGATAAAAGAATTATTTTTTCCCGCCGCTCCGTTTCTGAAATATATGACATCCAATACTGATAAGTTTAGCAAAGTCACAAAAGTTGAATTCATTTTCTTTCTACATACCGGACACTTTTTCGTATGTGTACTATAATATATATCGGCTAAAGTATTAACCGTTCAATAAAATGATTTTTAGAAAGTTCTCAAGAAAAAATAAATGAGCCAGGGTTAGTAAAAAAACAGCATGGCTACTGGAGTGACTATTAGCGAGCAAAGTTGAAATTGACAATTTTTCGATTTTATGTTCCGCTTCCGAGCAAATTTTGACGAAATTTGTCATTTCTCTAAAAATTTGAAAGGCCTCTCATCTGATGCAGTTTTTGGCGGTGATTCCAAATACCACCTTGTTTTTGTTTTTAAGTGAAGTTTTGATGCCTAAAATCTCAAAAAACTGAAAACTCGCGGTAGGTCGATCAGCGTGTTTTCAACTTTTGGAACTCTTTGACCGCTTTTAAAATAAAATTTTTGCGCTCAGTTTGTGAAAAATTGAATTCTCTATCGCATGTGACCTTCGAATTGTTAGGAAAATTCTGTGTGGAAAAAGTGGCATTTTCTCGAAAATTTTGATCCTTCAAAATCCTAACTCTCTAATTGATGTGAGCGGGCCTTAACCAGTCACTTTTTACTTAAGAAAAATTAGGAACTATGTGATTTTGTTCACTTTTATTAGACTTTCTCTATTTTTCGCTCGTTGACTTGATTTCTTGATGGGCTGGTGAACCGTCTCTTAATAATGTTAAAGATAGAAAGCTATCTTTGCAACGATCATAGGTCTAACACTGATGAGTAAGCATGCACCAACACATTATATTGGGTTTCCATAATATTATTGGGTATTGGGGCGCTTGAGTTCGGCCTACTTTTGCAGTAAAGATGCGTGCTTTATATCCTATTTATCAAAATATAACCCAATTAGGAAAATAATCGATAGTCGCTTATGTTTTCGCAATTTTGGTGAGTTTTGGATGTTTATATTTCTGTCATCGATACACACTAAAATGTCTTTTGCACTTCAGTTTGGTAGAACGAATATTTTTCTCCATTTTAAAATGAGACATTCGGCAGCTCTAAGTACTTTTTTACAACTTATCCGACACAACTCTGTTGAATGCTCTAACATCGATTATTAATCGGTGCATGCCTAATTCGATCGGGATATGCTTCCTCACGTTTTTATGAATGTAAATAATATTAAGGTTAAAAAGTTGGAATACAGTGTATTGTGGAACCCAATATTACCCAATATTATTGTAGAATATTATTGAATGACCAGTAATATTGGTCCGAATATATTGGGTATACAATAATATTGGGACCTAATAATATTGTACAATATCTTCAATAATGATTGGTATTGATGCATGCCTATTGATGAGTATATACGACAAATGCTAAATTGTTTCGTCAAGTCTAAGAGGAGAAACGCTTAGGACCATTTATGGCATTCGAACAGTACTGTTTTTAACAGAATTACTCATATATTGCACGTTTAGATTCGAATACGATATTAAACTTCGGGAAAATGAACAGTTCAGCTATTGGTCAAATACTGGAGTATCAAGCATCTCAAAGACCGAATCAGTTGTGTCTTCTTTATCCTGATTTATCGTTTAATTTTACTCAATATGCATCACTGACATATGCACAAGTCAATAATATAACAAATAATCTTGCTGAGCAGTTTTCACAATATATTTCACAAAAAGATATGCCCGTTGTTTGTTTATTAGCAAATAATAATGTTGATTGTTTATTAATGTTGTATGCATTATTAAAATTAAACATTATTGTATTTCCATTAAGTACAAGAAATTCACAAGCAGCTATTGTACATTTAGTAAATGAAACACAAGCATCACATTTATTTACAACTGAACAATATTCCTCAATAGCTGAACAATTTAAAGATTCAACGACAAAAATTGTTAAACTAGATAAGTTAAACTTAAATGATTTACAACAACAATCAACATCATCGTTTCAAAAGTGGGTGGAAACAGAAGAAGATCGTATTCGAATGATATTTCATAGGTATACAAAAGATAGCAGAGTCTGTTAACATATTGATACTTTAATTTTCATTTGAGCTCCGGTACGACCTCATTTCCAAAACCAATACGTCTGCCAAACAAAAATATATTGGGTTATTATGAGATATGCAAGAGTTCAAGTGATCAGTTTTGGAACGAGAATGATACAGTTTTGATATGGGGAGCATTGTAAGTACTATATTTCATTATACAAAAAAAAAGAGATGAAGTTCCTCTTCGAATCTCATTCTCCTTCAACTATTTTATTTCTAATTAGGCATGCAGTGGTATTTACGTATATGTTTTACCCTTTTTCACAATCAGATTGATTACAAAGTACTAACGCAAGACGAAAAGTACCATATCTCGTTTTGTAGAGAAATGTTTGCTCAACAAACCCGAGTGGCTTAAAAACTTCTAGAAGATTATTTTGTATTACAAAACGCTGTTTGCGAAAAAAACACGCAATTGCAACCGATAAATACTGGTGCACGCCTATTTCTAATATACAGTACTACTCATAACTATAAGAGTAGTCATCAGGTCGCATCGAAAGAAAAATATCTCCAAAAAACAATTTTATCGGTATTGCTGTAGATTTTGCAAAGTGGGACTGATCGATAGCTTGAATATTTAATAAGAAAAACTTTTGTGTTTTAACACTCTATAAAGTTCAAAACCAGGCCGTTCCTAACTTTTTCGGAATGGGTCTCTTTCGAAAGAAATCCCTAAAACCTCCTGAAAACCAAATTTTATGAAAACAATAGTTTTCACACTTTTTTCACTAATACCAAACAATTCACTATTCACACAAAAATCCTCAAAGTGATTTAAACGCTTGAGGATATGATTAATTATATCGGCTAAAGCAGATGACCCCATATCGAAATTCCGAGAGACATTTAATGTAAAAAATTGCAAAAGTTCAGGTCAATTGTTTTGCAGAAACCTGTAGTAACATTTCTTTGTCTCAGGTAACATCACACGCACGAAATACTTCTGCGTTTTTCTGCGGAAACATAAAATTTTTGGGATAAAACGCAAGAAAATGTCATGGATTTTCATGCATAAAATATTATTGTCTGTAATTACACCAATAAAGTTTGATGTGTTTATCAGATAATTTCCGGACTGGTTCATCGAGTCCGCCCACAGCGAAGCGTCACTGCTCACCACTAGATCTGCGGCAGTAAATCGCGATCTGCCCCCTCCTAGACAAGAGGAGTCACTTAGAAATATCTCTAAGCAAAGTTTTAATGAAAAAAGCCCGTTCATGTTCGCTTTCGAGTATATTCTGTCTGTTATATTCGACTGAAAGCGCACAGAGGGATCGAAATCATCGAATAATGAATCTGATGAGGTCTGCATCGATTGGAGCACTAAAAGTTGGTGAGTGAATTTCAAGTCTTATGCGGACCGAACCTTTAATTTTGTTCCTTTCTCCTGATTTCGAAAAGAGATTTTTTTTTCATATCAGACCGAAGTTTTGTCCATTTTAAACGTGGTTAAAACATCAGTTATGCGTATGTCTTTCTACCGAAACTGTGTGAAAGACATTAAAACATCTTGATTTTTAAACTTTGTAAAAGAATACTGTTAATAGTGTACTGCTTTCTAGAGGCTCTGAAACGTGGTTTTACCTTCATTTCAACAGCAATTGTAGACTTTTATTCTGTTTTTTAAGATTTCATATATTTCTATTTGGAACGACCGTAGCGACGTTTTATGCCGGTGCCACACTGGCATTACCATTGTCTGCTACTTATCCCCCATCACCAGCAGAACTTGTGGCGAATACTCAAGTTGAACAAGTGACAAAATTAGTTTGTGTACCAGTTCTTCTTGAACAATTATTTCATGAAATGAAAAGCAAGAAACACATTGTCAATCTGAAACCGTTATCGAGATTTGATTTTATTACGTACGGCGGAGCAATGTGTCCCGATGCGACTTGTCAACAGTTAGTTGACAGTGATGTGAATCTTCTTTGTGTCTACGGTTCAACAGGTAAATATAGAAATCTTGTTAATTCTATACTGCCGCGGCACGACTCTTCCTCGAACATCTGTTACATGCACAAAGTCTTTTAGTTGAGCTGTTTTCAACAAGGTAGTTCATAGCCAAACAGAGGGAAAGTTTCGCGTTACTTGCATGAATAATTAGTTCCCATATCAATTGTGCGCGAGATTTTTACGACGACAATCATCGATCTACTTATTATTTTTTCTTACTTACTCTTCTAGAAGCAGGCATAATAGCAATGAAACCTATGTATCCACGAGATAAACGTTACAAATGGATGATTATACCTGAAATTCGTAAGCCATTTATCAGAATTGTTTCCGCATTAGATGACCCAAATGTCAAAGAATTGATTCATTTACCAAATGACCCATTTGTGGCATCCAATGTATCAAATTGTTCTGATGGTGGTTATTCAACTGGTGATTTGGTTTTAGAAGATTTGTCTAATCCGGGTCTCTATACGATATTTGGTCGAAAAGATGATACATTGATACATGTCAATGGTGAGAAAACAAATCCAGGTCCAATTGAATCGGAAATACAAAAATGTTTGATTATTAAACAAGTGCTGATTATTGGTCATGGACGTTTTTGTACAGGTGCATTAATTGAACTTAATCGTGAGGAAGCAAGTATTTATGAATTCGATGAGATCGAAAAACAAGTATGGATGGCTGTACAACAAGCTAATAACAATGCACCAACACATTCACGTTTGGCGAGAGAAATGATTAAAATATTACCAATGTCTAAAATAATTCCAACAACTCATAAAGGAAACGTAGACCGAAAAAGCGGTCTTGTAGAATTTGCTGATTTAATCGATTCAATGTATGATAAATTTTTAAATCCAAATATCGTACAGCAAGAACTAGTGCAACTTTCACAACAACGCTGGACAAATGAAACGATTCGAAATTATTTACAATCCAAAGTAGCCACAATAGTATCAAAACCGATGCATTTGTTTGATGATCATTCAAAATCATTGTTCGATCTATCAACATTTGATTCATTGAATGCTATTCAATTACATAATCAAATATCTCAGGATATAATGCCAATTCCACGAAATTTTGTTTATGAATATTCATCAATTGATAAAATGACAAAAAAGCTGTTAAATGACGAAACACAGAGCAGTGATTCATCAGAACATTATAAAGAAACGGAAGAGATTATTGATAAGTATATTGATTTAATCAAACAAGAACCAACACTAACACGAAAACGTGTATTTCTTTTAACTGGTGCAAATGGTTCATTGGGTAGTTACATTCTTTTTGATTTATTATCAAATTCAAATGTTGACAAAGTTTATTGTCTTGTGCGTGGTGAAAATGCTCATGATCGTCTTTTAAAATCATTTCAACAACGAAAACAAAATATTACCGAGCAACAACTACAACGTATTATTGTCTTATCAATGGATTTGACTAACGAACATCTTGGACAAACTAACGATGTTTATACACACTTAGAAAATGAAGTGACTGATATAATTCATGCAGCATGGAAAATTAATTTTAATTTGACAATTAAACATTTCGAATTTGATCAAATACAAGGCCTTTATCATTTACTAAAGTTTGCACGATCGCGCACAATAAGATTTCATTTTATTTCAAGTATCGCTGCAGCTGGTAGTGGTTTTATGCAAGTAATCAAGGAAGAACCCTTACCAAGACAACCGAAACTCGCCTTAGATCAAGGTTATGGACAATCAAAATATGCTGCAGAACATATTTGTTGGGCAGCTCGAGATATTTGGGGTACGTCTTTTTCTGCATTCTGTACGTAGTAGATCACAAATTCAGCTCTCCCATATTTTGAAAACTTTGTTTACTCTTCATTCTCATATCAGCCTTTCTTGTTATTTCTGCTATTCTTCCCACCTGTCGTAGTTTAGTATAAGCGCGATTTTAGCATTTTACTGACTTCCCATTTTTGTGACCTGGCTAAATGAAGCATATTACTGCCAGAAAAATACAGTTCATTTAGAATTGTGGAAAAGTGCTTTTTCGTATTCAGCACACTCGATAATCCAGTAGATTATCTGTTTTTGACGATGAGATGGATACCGTCGAAAGTTTAAGAAAAATTTTGAAACTAATATTATTTTCCCATGGAAATATGCCTAAACGCCTAAACTTTTGACAGTACTTGTGGCCTAAAATAGAAAATCTACTGAATTTTCGAGTATGCTGAATACAAAAAAGCACTTTTCGACAACTCTAGATGAGCTTCTTCACAGTGATATGCAGCAATCAAGAAATATGTGTACGACTGATAATGTGCGCTGAGGATCTGGGAATTTTCTAGGAGCAAAGATTATGCCGATTCATTATTATGTACTATGAGGCCTGAGTCCTACGTGTACTACATAATTTATCTGAATGAAACAGGAGGAAGAAAAAGAGAGCACCATAAAATGGTACAGTGAATGTTGTCATAATACCGATACGGAATGTATCCACTTCTACTGCGTATGTATTGATCACAGATCAGCACGAACCGGGCTTTTGGTCGGACCGAACCGGACCAAGCCTAGCCAGAAAACTGTATACATGGGCGCCCATCGACGGAAAATTTGCATCCATAGCAGTCCCTCATAACGGATATAGACAGTCTTTTGTTAAAATGTCATGATGAATCAACATTTAGGAGTGATGCTTATGAAAATATAGTATAAACTGCTCTCTTTCGATTCCTGGAAACCGCAAGTGTCTATCGTTTCACATTGTTAGCTGTCATCCACATAATTCAAGTAAAGATGAAGTAGGTCATGTTTAGTGTACACAATTGTATATGCAGGTCACAAGTCTTATAATTCGGAGTCCTTAACATAGACGCTATTCAGCCGACGGTAAAACAACGCGGTCTATACTATGCGGAGTACAGATATTTCGACCGGTTATACTGCAATACACAATGTATTAGACTTGTAACATGTCTGTTTCTTTAGATGTACCAGTTGATATCTATCGTGTTGGACAAATATCTGGTGATACACTGAATGGCGTATGGAACACATCTGAAATGATTTCATTAATAATCTGTGCTGGTGGAGGCGATTTAGGTAAAATGGCTGATGTTGGAGAAGCAATCAACTGGATACCAGTGAATATTGCCAGTTCGGCTATAGTCGATATTGCCATGAATACCAGTATATTCGCACTGTCAAAGGAGGAACATGTTCATCATATCCTAAATCCATCTTCAATAACATGGTCTGAATTTTTAACTTATTTGCATAATGCTGGTCTAAAATTCGATACTGTTCCATCACATGAATGGTTAAATGCGTTATTATCATCGTCATCATCAACGAATCCGCTAACAAAATTAGCATCATTTTTTGAAAAATTTTATACGACGGGAATATTTGAAATAGCTGAGTATGAAACCAAAAAAACTGTTGAAAGGAGTGTCAAACTAAGAAATTGTCCAAAAATCGATGATTATCTAATTGGATTATATTTACAGCATTGGTCTGATTGTGGATTTTTGAAGTATGGCTATGAACCAAGCAAGAAGAGTGGATAGTAATATGGTTTTTTTCATATTTCATATTGAATTGCATGTGTTTTTGTATGAGCAAATATAATTTGAACAACAAAGTATCATTCTCTAAAGCATAAGATTATATATTCGATTAACTACTTTCCATAGGAATATTTTCTAACAATTAAACATTTGCACTTATTATCAACCATTCATACCATTCTTTATCGCTGTATCCTGGGGCAAGCAAATAGAGAATTTCCTTCTTTATTAAAAATGGCTCTAACTGTTATTTTCGATATTTTTATTTGTTTTCGAGACTCGATGTTTTTTTGAAAAGATGCGCTACGAAATACTCTTCAAAATCATCATTAAACTATAATTTCATAACTTCAATCAAGAAAACTAAGCCAATTAGATGAAAGTCGAAAAAAATGAAAACTTTCGTAATTCAAACAGGGTTTCTTATGTTAGCGTTTTGAAAGTAAGAAAAACTAAATTAGCCACTTTGTAGCTCTGCTTCGCTCTGTCTTTTAGCTACACTTCAAATTTTTCCACATTACAAGCCACAGCGAAATAATAGTTTCTCTGCCGGTTGTCATGTATTTTCTCTTTAACTTTTTAAATTTTGGATAGCAGTGCTTTCAGTAAAAGTCCTATAATTTCACCAAAATAAAAGCTTTTTCGATCGGGTTTGTTTTGCTTTGATCAGAAATGACTGTTTGTCTCTGTTTAATTGCAGAACTAAAACTTCTAACATGTTTTCCGTGTCTTGCTTGAGCACATTGTTGGAAAGCGGGAGGTTGTCAACTTTTGACGTATTTCTGTAACTTCGTTCTCCAGCACACGATCTGCTCTAAAAACATTTTGCTACAGACCACGAGAAAGAGCATATTTGAGAGTATCAGACATAACTGAGTTCTCACTTTTGCTACACTTTTTAGCGGAAATAGTAGCAGAAGAAAAAGTTGAAATAAAAAAAGATTCTGAATTTGGAAAGTTTTCATCTTTTTCGATTTGCATCTAATTGGCTTAATTTTCTTGATTGAAGTTCTGAAATTATAGTTTAGACATGATTTTGTAGAGTATTTTGCAATGTATCTTTTAAAAAAAGATCGAGTTTCAGAAACAAATCCAAATCCAGTTATAAGCAAAATACTGAAACCGACATTTATTCTGCGTCACCCGTTAAAATTGTCTTGCCAAATGTACAGTGCTGGTCAAAATTATAAAATCAATCTATCGTTCTGTTTTATTCTAAATTTTTCTCTTCGATAACCTTCTGTGCTCTTTAGAGTTTTACTGTGAATACAGATAGTATATAGTATACTCTGTAGTACAATGACATATCGTTATAGTGAAGGCATCGGGTCTATTCGATATAATATTTTAGAATAGATAAGTGACATGAACAAAAAACTTGATATCAAGAACAACCACAGAATAATAAAATTTCATCGTATAAGATTGAACGAGTTAGAAAATGGATCTGTTCTATATGCGAGATGTATCAAGTCCTTTCTGGTTAAGTGCTATCAAATGAAGAACCACATAAACTTGCCATAAAAGAACCACATACTTTCAAGTGCACATCACTGAATAGATAACGTTGAATATATTCAACTTTATTTCGAAACACGATATGTTTTTGGTGTGTATATTGTTAGAAAAAAATTGATTAATCACGAATTTGTTTTTAAATTCTGTTCATATCAAAAGTTGATGAGTTGAATATGAGAATTATGACTAACATATAGTTTTAGATCAATTACTTCTTTTGAAATGTTCTTCAAAAAAATACCACCGAAAATACAATGCAGATCGAATATTCAGTAGTAAAGCAAAATTTTTTGAATACTGAATGGGAGTAATGTTATACACTCTGTAACTCGGTTGTCAAGTATTGTAGAAACTTGGTTGACATCTTATTTTGCAGAGAATTGAACGGACTATTCGATGGAATGGTTGGAAAATTTTCGAAAGGAGCTTCAACGTCGCTAGGATATACAGAAACCTGCTTTTCCAGACATCGTTTTCTGTAGACTCAGAACTCGAGCATAAGTTTTCTTTATTGAAATATATAGAGTTCGATGCGCTCTTTCATTTAAAATCTAGCTCGCTGTTCTACGATAGGGATTGTGCTCAGGAGACGTTTGACAAGTTAATCCAAATCTGATGGAAAATGGCGAAAAATGCAATTTTCTGCTGCGAGAGTAAGATTCCAATAGCTTTTTTCCTACAAAGCTAGAGACTTTCTTTTAGCATTCGATTCCGCTAGTCAGGCTTGATAAAATGCAGTACGTCTCGTCACTGGCGTCGAAGGTCGACGTATTGGTGGTAGGTTTCATATCGATTCAGCCTAAAGTAGAGAAGAGAAAAAAATACTGTAGTAGTACGTATTGTAGCTCACTTTTAGATACTTTGTTCAGGCTTCTTATCAATGTCAAATAGTTCATTTTGTAGAGAATTATCTGCTCTACAAGATAAGCTTGTTGAACTTTTAGAACAACTCGGTTTGGCTTCGTAAAAGCAGTTTTAAGAGGGAAAACTGAGTTTAAGAGAGAAAAATTTCAATAAACTGATTTCGAGTTTTCCAATACTAGATTTCGAGGCTAACAGTTGAAAAATAGTCGGATTTGTTCAGTTTTTTCCGCACTTTCGATTGATATATAGTACAAAGTTATAAAGCTCAGAACGAAACGAAAAAGATTAAAATACAAAAACATGAGATTTCTTACCGGTTCTTGAGTGGCAGGGCTCTTCGTAAAACTTTTATAAATCGGTAAAAAAACGTTTCTAAGGCTTCAAAATTTGGATTTCTGGGTCATCTTCATCGGAGAATCCAATGAACATGGTCGGAGATAAAAGTAAGTGGATGAGTGGATAGTTTGTTTTATTTGAATTAGTCATAGGCGACATACGACTAAGTAAAAAGCGGTATCATGTTTGTTACATTATAAAGAAAACTGTCGGTTCTACAACACTATGTATAAGAAATATGGAGACGTGACTAAAGAGACTAACATGTGTTGTCGTTACATCAACTGACTCCCTTAACGCTCAAATTCTTAATATATATTTTTCTGAACGTTTCATTCATTAACCATATCCTCATTCAACAACGTTTTTAATGATACTTTCGTTATTTACTCACCTAACAAACCAATTATTTTAGATGCTTTGAGCCATTTAAGGAAAGATATGGCACCAAGGCCTGATAATATACCCATTTCCTTCTTACATAAGTGTCAACGGTTTATGAACTGTTAACTCACAGTTTTTAACATAATACATTAATCTAAGAGAACACATCAGATAAGAGAATCCTTGTAGAATTTTATTTCAAGAAAGCTTTCAACCGCGTTCATCATATTCGCTTGATAAAACTTTCTTCTTTAGGTGTTATGCGCACTGCATTTCAGTGACTTTCTAGCTATTGAATAGCTAGAAAGTCACTGAAATGCAGCTTTATGAAATGTTTATATTACTAATATAGGCTAGGATAAGCATGGATTTTCGTTTATAATGATAAGCGCCGCCAATGTATTGGTCTGTAGTATATGATCTAACGGCTAAGAAAAAAAAGTGCTTCCTTTCGTGATTTTTTGTTGAATTTTTGGGGCAGTTTTATTCTGCCATAAATACATTGCATAAGAATTCTAATCAATAATTATCCATTCAAAATAAAACTGAACTTATAATCGTCTAAATGCACTTGAACTACACTTACACTATATTAGTAATTTGAATAAAAATGCACAAGCTTAAATTACTAATGTAGTCTAAGTGTAGTTCAAGTACATTTAGACGACTACAAGCTCAATTTTATTTTGAATGGATAATTATTAATTAGAATTATTTTGCAATGTATTTACGGCAGAATAAAACTGTCCCAAAAATTCAACGGAATCCGTAGCAACGGCATTCCTTCACCGTTAGATCAATAGACTAATACATACTTTATCACAGAACTCTATTCTGTATGGACGATCAAGTAGTTTATCAACATAAACTTAAACGAGGGACGATTTTCCACAAGAACATGAAATAATAATAAAACAAAGTCGGATCGGGAGCTCGACTATTTAAATTGGTCCGATCGGCCCGTGAACTGCCTCAGTCCGATCCGACCGAGGCGGCTTGTATGCTTATGACTATAACCATAGAAAGGTGCATATTTTTTCAGAAAAGATTATTTGTACGATAAAAGAAAACTTTTTTAACCTAATCAAAACGATGGGAAAAGTTAAAATACTATTTTTTGATAGCATAGAAGAGAAGGAATTTTTTGGTAAAAGAATTTATTCAAAAAACTTCTCCCACATGTACGTCTAATAGAAAATAACCATTATATGCCTGTGTTGACTTCTCTTTTTCTCAATACTGAAAGACAAAAAAGCTTCTGTCGACCATTACAAGAACTAGTGCACACAAAGGTCTATCAGATAGGTATATTTTAAAATTTCAGTCACTTTAAGATACTTTAGACAATGTAGTACTATAATGACAATTTATTATCGTAGACAGAAAAGAAAAAACACATTCACGAAGACGACTTTCCACCGAATCAACCGGTGTTGTCTGTAACGTCTGATCGAGTCGCATATCAAATTTCTTCAATTCGTTTTTTTCAGATCTGTCAATTTTTGCTAGATAGAAAGTAGATTTTTGAAAAAATTCTTTTACCAAAAAATTTCTTCTCTTCTATACTATCAAAAAATAGTATTTCGGCCTGTCCAGTCGTGGCGGAATCACGTTTTTACATTTTAAATTTGCCTTTTCTCGATCATTTTAAAAGACGAAGAGTCGCTATTTTTTCTGTATGTGTGCGACCATGTGCTCTACAATACCTGAAAATATCGTTCAGTTTGGTTGTACAGCTTCGATTTTATTAAAGAAATAGACATCGTGGCGGAATCACGAAAAAATGGACAAGCT